GCTAGGAAACCAGTGGTCCCCCTACAGTGCAACGTGTATGTATTCACTTTATAACATATATGCTGTGGCTTTAAACAGAGTGTGCAGAGATCAAACTGATGCCTGGACTTGACTGTCATGAACTGGCCCTCAGGGCATTGCATTCGGTTTATGGGCATGTGTGTTGTGCCCAGTGAGTCTAGACAAATCGATAATAATCATTCCAGCCTAAAAGCTCCAAGGAACAATTACAGAAAGACACATTAGAGAAATGTAGCTGTGATTAAGTAGAAAAATGTGAGAATAAAGGGTTTGAAAAATGTCAATGACTGGTGAAAAATTAAATGAGCTTTGTTGCTGTGAATGTTCCTGGAATCAGCCAAACTCAGTGCTGTAGAAGTTACTCACATTGCATCAGTGCTTCCTTTCAAAAAATGTATTTGCTAGTAGGAGATTTTTAAAAAACTTTCATTATCTTTCTGTTCCATATTAGATTGCATGAAATCATCTGTTAGACATGGATATTTTCTGGACAAATAATTTAATAAAACTGTTTACAGTACAAGCAATAGGCAAGTTGATGATCAGTTACTAATCTAACCATGTAAGAAACATCTTATTCAAGAACAGATCAGGTAACTTCCTTGAACCACCACTGGTTGTTTGATCTTAAGGATCTGACCTTGCAGCTTTCAAAGACAGCCATAGTCCTGTAATCAAGCTTTAAGATGGCACTCAGGCTATCTTAAACTATTCACAAATCAATATTACCACTCAGTTGTCCTGGAATATGTTCTGAGTGAGGCAATTTAAGTACGCTTAGGCCAGTGATTCTTTGATTTGCAAAAAGTCAATGTGGGAGTCTTCAGAGAGTTGAACCCCAATAGCTCCATTTGGATCTGAGTCCGGAGGGGCTGCACATATCTGATGATGCCACAGAAGACACAAACTCATAGCCTGCAGAGGACAGGTGACTGACATATAGATGTGCAGGAAGTAGCTGCACAGAGCGAATGCTAAGAAGAATGGACCTTTTGTTTGCATTTGTTACAGCTAAGCAGGAGAAGATTGTCTTTCATAGTGCTGATGCACAGACACACTCATCTTTGCAACTGCTTTTATTTAGCCTATCTTTCTCTTTACCTCCTCATCATGAAAAAGAATCAAAGGCTTAAAAATAGGACGAAGCGCTTAGTAAAGGAGACAAAAAGCTTTGTTGGAGGGAATAAGAACAGAGTGAAAAGTGGCATGAGGGAAGAGGGTAGTGACATGGATAGTTAGGCAGTTCAGTGTGGATTAAACGGGAGCAAAGGATCTGGGAGAATTTTTACTCTTCCTTCTTCTCATTAAAACTATGTGCTAGTTTAAGCACAGACAGAGACTGGTCTGTTGGTTCTCTCGCTGAGTTTTATGCTCCAGTGAGCCGACCAGCTTCCAACCTCCCCTCCAGTAAGAAATACAGAAAAGGCTTTTTGTGCGTGTCCTGAATGAGAGGTCATTGTGAATATGCCCAATCACTGATCCTTTCTACGTATTGTTGTTCTGTTCTGTGTTCCATGTTGCTGGCAAGGTAGTTTTTCGATTACTTATATGTACACAACACCAGCATTACTTCAAGATATTTGAAATAACGGGATCGTTCATCCAATGCATTAACACAGATTATGCTTGCTTCTTACAGCAAAAGGCTGGACAAGTAGTATATGAATTTGTGTACAGCTGACAGTAAGACTAGTCTCCATAGAAGATCTACAAGACATCATTATCTGCTGCCTTTTGTGCTGTGTAAAGTGGTAGCTTTGTCTGCATTTTTATTTAAGATAAAACACTTTTATACAAACATACAGTTTACAGAAAAAATGTTGGAATATGTTCACTTGATCAGATGAGGACAAAAGATGCAACTGGCCAAACAACCAGTGCATCTCCAGTTTTTTGGCCACCCGCAAACATTTGCATTTCACCATCAATTACCATTTTTCCTGTTTTGGAGTGTTGGAGGGCTTTTGGCACTGAATGTACAAGTGTGGCCTTATGAAGGTCAATTAATCGGATGCTGCAAGTTGATCTGAGCTTAGCTTTAGTGGACGTGGAAGCAATATGTGTCAACACAGAGGAGCACGTGCTGTGTTAACTCAGCACTTCCTGTGACAGTATGTACAGCAAGTATGAATATTTTCAGTGGCTAAAAGGCAACACTGCAATCAGACAACAGTGTGTTTAACTATAATAGATGGGTTACATTCAAATCCTCGTCCATTCAGGAACAACAGTATAATCTACTACTGCAGGCTTTGAACAGCTGTTTCGAGTCTTCGTGTGTGTAAGAACACACATCAACACGGACGTGGATTTATCTTTTTAAGAGGGACGAGTGTGTGTGGGTGACTGCTGCTGCAGCTCTGTGTTGCTATGGTGACAGTTGAACCTAGGGCTGAGGTTGAGTCTTCTACTGTATTTGAAGTAGATGCTGTTGCATAAAGCAAAGTGTAACACACCAATTCTCACCATGCAGGGCAATTACCTGCTCCTTCTGGAGGTGTGTATGTACCTATTATGTCTGTGATAAGAAAGAAGTGTGAGGACTGACTCCTGCCATTGCCCCAAAGGAGAAGGGCGGAAAGCTGAATAATTCATAACCTTTTCTAAAGGCTAAAAATACCCATAATCGCAGGTCACTATTTACAGTGTAAATGTCATCACGTCATTCATTCAATAGTAGCCAGTCAGATGTTAAAATATGGAGTGAAATTAGATCAATCTTCCTTTAAAAATTGATAATTGTGCACAAAAATATAATTATTGCAGCTGGTAAATTATTGATTTGGTTAAAGACTGACTCCTATTTCAGCTATGGTTTTGACACTCTTCACAACAATACATGGCACACAAATTTAAATAAAGGATGCGTGGAAAACGATATGTTGATTATCCTTTACATTATTTTATTTCAGCTGGATGTATAGATGTGGGCTATGAAAACAGAATAATAGGTACAAGTGAGAACCTATGGACAGAGCAGTGTGCCTATTTGTTTTACCACACAATTATGTTAGTGCTGCCCGCTTTAGTCTGAAACGAGTTTCAACAATTAAATACACTGTTTTCATGTGCAGAGGGTCAGTGTGAAATATAATAATATAAGACATTTGTGACCAAAATTTGTTTACATTTGCACACAGATCATAGAACAAACTGGGTACAGTCTTCACTGCCCTCCTTGTTGTTTGTATTTTTAAGGCTTTATCAGGTTTATGTTGTGCTGAGTCAAAGTAAGACTGTTGGGAAAATCATTAATGTGACAGCAAGACTACACAGTGAGGCTAATTACCACCCTTTGCCCTGAAGACGAGCACACTGACACTCTTTTTTTACTTTGAAAGATGCATTTATTGGAAGACCTCCAGCAGTCGCTTCCTAAAAGCATGCAGACATTTGTTGTGTCCCAGTTGGTGCATGCTGTGCCAACAACATCCCTGCAGAAGGCTGCAATGTTCCTGCACGTCCTTAGAAAACTACTGGCACTGTCAGGGCCCGGTGACCAGACAAAGAATGAATGCTTTCATTAGGGTCCAACTGTGTGTTTTCGTTTGCTCGTATTTGTGTAATGAGCCCCTAGGGAAAATCAATAGACAATTACAAATCTACTACATTCTCATATCGTTGAGTTTGTACTTCATGACTGATGGAGCACAATTTCAGAGTTTTTGGTAAGAATAGTTAATTTCCAGAGCCTTAAAATTAGCTAATAATTGCATTTTTTTTTCTTTCTAAGGATTTAAGATGTGAACTTTGATACAAGTGAGTGTGTTTTAAATACTCTGACAGCCTGACTCAGAGGTCCAACAAAATTTTGCTGCGCATCACATTTATTTAGTCTGTTTTGACTAAAGCATAAAATGTTTATTTTACATGGACTTTATAACTCCCTTAAGCTTGACCTGTAAGTCACATTTGAAAGAAATGATTCATGCATTTGTTATAACTATAAAGCTATAAAAGGATACAATATGTATTTATCCTTAACATCTTAGACGGGTAAAGTTTCCTTGGGGGTCTGCTTATTGGTGCTGCTTATTGTCTTCACCGTTCAGTGCATGATTCCACGTACATAACTTGCAACCAAAGCTTGCGACACTGAATCTGCTGTATCCTCATAACCAACAGTAATATTCCATGCATTTAGGCTAGTTATTTCCATCTTAATTAATTACTTGGATCTATTTTTCTGTCCTAGTTAGATCATCATTTATTGGACACAAGTCTTGACTTTTCGGTGTCAAAGGATATTAATGAAGTGTCCTAAGCAGCTCACCTGTCTGCTGGTCTCTACCTTTTTGATATTTCATCAGGTCTGGATTAGAGTCCCCACATTTGTGAGTTTAAGTTGATATGAACTAAACTTCTAAATTCTGAACTGGAACTTTCTCTGGGGACTTTGATCATTTATTCATAGAAGTGCCTGAAACGAACAGAGTGATGACCTAACTGATAGGTTTACGTAGCAGTGCACATCCTATGTGTGCACTTTAGCTGTATGCATGCACATAATCATCCCAATTTGCACTGATCTTTGTTCTTGCAACAGATAACAGCTGAAAACAGCCATGTAAGTCATGCTTGTTATGCAGTAATTAGAAAAATAGCATCCATTTGCTCAGGGGCACTTTATATTACTGTGCACTCATTAGTACCATTAATGCTCTCTATAGATGTGTTTTTTTATCCCTGTAAAACATTTTTCTACACAGCAGTATTGGGCTCCGTTTAAGGCTCATAATAATTGTTTTTTTATTTTTTTTAAGATTACATGTTCTCATGTCAGCATCCGAAAGCTTCTCAGCTTTTTCAGTGTAAAGTTGAAATGCATCCCTTTCCCAGTATGGGCATTCAGATCAAGTGGACATTCTATTAGTCATCTTTCAAAAGTTATGTCTATAAAAATGACCATTTGATAAACTGGAGCAGCAAGTCTAAATTGTTTCATGGTCCATAAAACATCACTGTAATGTGTACCGTCTCTGTCTATTCAGGTGTTAAAGATCAATCTTATTGGACACAGAAAACGGATCCTTGCCTCGTTGGGAGACCGACTTCACGAAGACACTCCTCAAAAACCTCCACGGGCAATCTCCTTACGGGTAAATGAATGTCTGTGTTCAGATAATATTTGCTATGAAACACGATGCTGAACAACATTTGAGCCACCCAACTGATTTCCCAAATCTGTCAGGCAGTCACAGTGCTAGGCTACTGCCTTTGCTATCTGCAGGCTTGTAGTGGATGCTTACCACAGGGAGCTGGGTCACTTCTTCTGTCATTCTTTCTCTGTTGTTTTGGGATAGTGGGAGCCTGTGTTCTCAAGTACCTAAGACTGACCACTTTGCCTCTTCCATAGTTAATAATAGACACGACAGTTGGAAAAAACATATTTCCTAATATAATCATGTTTCAAGAGGCACCATATATTAAAATTGCAACAGAAAAATTCTTAACTTATTTATGACTTTTTATTATTCCTTCCCTGGAAAAAGAAAAATGGACACAAATATTTAAAGTGGCAAAAATACAGAACAGTTTCCTTGTTTGCAACATGTGATATTCTTTTGCAAAAACTAAAAAAATCTTACTGAAACTATTTCTCTATGATTTAGTATTTGAATTAAATGAAAACAATTCTTTAAATGAAAGCAAAGTTAGATTACCATAAATTGCTCAGATTTTCCTGTTGAATATGTGTTCATGCTGCATCATGCAGCAGTATGTCAGCAGAGGGTTGTTTACTCTGAAACAGTGCAAAGAGCAGAAAACTGCATTTGGCTGCCCTGTATGGACCAGTGGTGGTGATAGAGCACATTATGAGATGATAAATGATCCCTCCATTGTTTCACAATCTGCTCACACTCATTTTGTACCAGGAGCCCGGGGGAAACCACACTCCTCCCCAGCTCAGCCCTTCAGTAGGCCAGGCAGCGTACACTGTGGGGGTCCCCGGTGGATCTCTGGACGTGCAGCACCTCATCATGCAGGCAGACGCCCGGCGCAGGCAGCGCAGCAACGACAACTACTTTGAAGACGTGCCGAGATCCAAGCTGGAGCGACAGATGGCTCAAGTCAGCATGGTGAGGATGGAGGGATGAATGGAGACAGGAGGGGGATAAGAGGATGACAAAGTTTATGGTCATAATTATAGATTGAAATGTAATCAATGGATTTATTCCCACAAAAAAAAACTAATTCAGCCAACTCTATGAACAAGTCTTTTTCAATACTGACATTTTTCTTTGTTTTTAAAAGGTTAAATGTAGATGTAAATAAATCGAAAGAATAACTGACTTACAATTTTGATTCCAAAAAATATCAACTTATATTTAAGTACATTTCACAGCTTTATGACAACCTTTGAGGCAGCATACTTTCTTAAGGACAATGTTAAATTATATTTATAACAGAAATATCAAAAGCTCATGGCTTCCAATATATGTAAGATTCCTGCTAAAAATCTGATTCATACAAGTCATACAAACACAAAGTGTTTGCCTGAAACAAGTATGCGAGTTTCGGGCATCTGAGGCAACACATGGATAAATTCTTCACAAGTCGTTAAACGTAAAGACCTATGTTTCATAATGAACATCTTTCTCAAATATAGATATCTGCAAAAGTGGAAAATCTGACAATTTGTCTTTCAGTCAACAAGAACACAAAGACTCAAAGTGACATGTCGAGCTGACAGTGCAGCGGTTGTTTTCAGATTAGACCAACACACACTCCTGTTATCCAGCTCAATCTGACTCAGCTGTTTGACACCATGAAAAATGAGGAGGTAAAAAGCACTAAAGCTTTTCCCTCTTTAGAAGCATCTTTTTTAGTTTTAATCTGTGGCTGTTTCTCCACACTCACCTGAAATATTTTGAAGGAAAATCTAACTTCTAGTGTGTAAAGTGTGTAAATACCCCCGCAGACTAGAATCATCTGGTTTTACATTAAAAAAAAAAACATTTGACAAGAATGTAGAGTTCAATTTGAGCACGTCCACCGTTTCAAAAGTAGTGAATTACAAAGCCTTAACTTTAACTCCAATCTGGAAACACAGGTTTAAAAATAATTCTTCTAAGTTTAGTTTCCTCTGTGGGATTTTTGAAAGAAGTCCTTTCAAAGTAAAACCACCAGTGAAATCAGCATGAGATGCCACTGACATCCCATTTTGTATATTTGTGTCATCATTGCTGTGCCTTGATATGCGGTGCTTGTTTTTAGGCAGGCGAATGGTGTGAGCCAATAACGTTGCGTCCACCGAACGAAGCGACCTCTTCCACCCCTGTGCAATACTGGCAGCATCACCCGGAGAAGCTCATTTTTCAGTCCTGTGACTACGAAGCCTACGTGAGTCCACCTCTTGAACCTCACTTCTAAGTCCATGACGATAACTTCAATAAAGTAACTTGCCAACTCATTATCACAGATACAGGCTGAAGTGATACAATGAAAACAATCAATGCAGGTGAATTAGTCTTCTTAAATGTATAACTGGTTGGTGTTCATTACTGTCGGATCCAAACCTGATTTGTACAACAGCATCTTAAGAATGTGTTCTATTCAAGTATTTAAAAGCCTTTCGAGAATACATTGTTTTTCCATTGTACACAGTAGCTGAGTGACAGCAGCATCTATGGTGCGTGTAACACTGCAGCTCCGTTACCAGCTCAGAGGCCAATTAACTTCAACCCAAAAGCTGAATCTATCCCACTTGAAGTTTGAAAAGGAGATGACTCCAATGGTAAAAATGATCATCTGTTAGGGCAAGACAGTGGCTGAGACATACATTTCCCAAGAGTGTGTCCTGTTGACAGTAATAGTGTGGACTATAGAGCTTCTGACAGTCTGACAATACCAGTCCTGTGTGTTTGGGCAAGTGGGAGAGATTTGGGTGTGTGCTTTCATGTAGCCGTTCATGACAAAGTCTAACACTCTACCTGTTCACCAGAAAGCTTAGAAAGTTATATAAATGAGCAACAGCCCTTACGGAGGGGTGGGTGGTGCTCTGTGTGACTCCTGACAGGTGGGTGAGCTGAGAAAAGTGTATTGTGTGTTCAACAAAGGTGCAGGAATACTTTAAAAAAAAGATGAGCCTGGACATGATGAATATTCAGTTCTGTTCTCCAGCTCTAAATACTTTAATCCCCAACTCATAACACTAACTTTATTATTTGCACAACCTTATAGTATCAGTTGTAAAATATTGCTTATTAGAAATCTTTTCCCTGTAAAATTCTGCAGGCACAAGTACATTTATATATCTACTTTTTCTCATTAATGGAAAGCTTTCAATGCATCAAATATGCAAAAATATTAGAGCTCAACACTGACCTTAAATTGTGAACATTGGGATGTCCTTCACAAATGTTAATCAATAATAACATTTGACTGTCTCATAACAGCAGAAATCCTCTATCATACTATGTGAGGTGGCATGAAGGGCATCAGGCTCCACACTTGAATCACAGTTTATTTCCAGATGCAGATTTGTGTGGCAATGTAAACTAAAGAACTAGGTGAGGTTTGCACATTTTCAAAGTAAGAATCCCCCTCCCAAAAAATGTTTATAAACATAAAAGTAATAAAAATAAAAATACAAAGCATAGTAACTAATGAGCATGAGAGGGAGAAAAATACTGAAAGATTACAATGTCAGATGTTACCCGTTTACCAAACTACAGAGACAATAGTCTGGTTGTAGTGTCTTGAAACCAATAAAAAGATCTTAATTTGTGCACTCCAGTGATTACTGTCACAGAAACGTAGTGTATAGCTGCTTGTGCACAACTGTAATACAATTTCTAAGATATCTGCCAGCAACTCGCCCATTAAGTCGATTTAATGTTATTATCTTGACTCAAGACAAAGTATTAACGTGCCCAGAAACCTCCTTCTGATCTGCTGAGGACCAGGATCCATCACCGGAAATATGACTGGGTAAAAATGGTCAGAAATGGCATTAGGTGAATCTATTGCTCCTCAGTCTGAGTCATTCTCTACAGAAGTACACAGATGAGACCACAACAAACTTTAAAGGATTTCTCCTCTAATTCACTGAAAACCTTGTTAAGGCCCCACTTTGGGGAATAAGCCCCCGGTCTTAAGATGGATAGGAACTTTGAGGTGGTGAGTGTCGCACCCATTAAGTGCTCTAATGTCAACATCATTGATTACCATTAGTAGCTTCTTTATTAAATCTACTCTATGTTTAGAATGACCAACCATAAAGTCATCCAGACAGAGGGATCTGCCACCCAGAGTTAATGTACAGTACCTGTGGGACCTGCTCAAGATTGATGTAATCACTGTTATATGCCAAGGTGCATTTAAAAAGTCCCATGTTAGTAAAGCTTAATGGAAAATTCCAGAGAAGACAAATATGAAGACATTATAAACACTTAAATCTACATAACGATTTTTTTTTTTTTACTTCACTGTTATTTTTTTCTACTGAAAAACTGTTCGTTCTTTCAGACAACACTAAAATACTTCCACTCTGAGCCCTCCTTAATTTGGCAGAATGGCTTTGATCATGTTAGAAAGTCAGGGTCACCTTTGCCTGAAACTGTCACCAGTCAGAATCTGGACAGGAGCATCACCGGTGGAAGCTGTTGGGTCTAACTGAGCATCTTTGATGGCAGCATGATGCTGTGTTCATCATTTCAGGATGCCTGTGATGAGTTGATCTGAGTCATACTTGTAAAAACTGTAAAATAAAGTTGACAGCAGATGACTCTCCCTGCTGCTAGACTGCATCTCAGTTATTTCTGCTCAATGTAGGCGGTGCAGGTCCTCATTAGAGAAGAGAAAACGAGTCCAGTTTTTTTAGAAAATAGCACTGATTACTTAGACATCTCCACTGCTTTTTTATATCTATAGAAATATGCAAGCCTTTTCTTATTTCAGCACTTCATAAGAGAAACGGCCTTTCACCAAACACGACGCACATATTTATCCAGCATCTGTATGTCTGTCCAACAGTACCTGGGCTCCATGCTGGTGAAGGAGCTGAGAGGGACGGAGTCCACACAGGATGCCTGTGCCAAGATGAGGGTAAAGCTCACCAACACACTCCACTTTTCATCTTCATCCAATGTCAACCTTGTTGTTTATTGCTACTAGAGGTTATTATCCTTCACACTCTGTCAAAAGTGACACGTTAAATTTCATGATAATCAAAGGGTTCAAAGATGTTTTTAAACAAGTTTCACAGTTATTCTTTATTTCTTATTGTTACTGATAATTTCTCTGAAGCACATCTTACAATTCATGGAGGACATGGAGAAATGTTTATTTCCTTCCTGGGTGGTTTGATACCCCACGGTCACCCCTTCTTAGTTTGATCAAAATCAGAAGCTGCTCTTATGGGCACACAAAGAGGAAGGTGCAATAGGAATATCATTAATGGAAGAGTTCAAATGAAGTTAGGTTCTATTTGACAAAACTGGTAGTGGATTTTCTTTTTATGCAGGACAGATGTTAAAAATGCTACTAACAGGCCAAGCTTCAGCTGATATATGTATTTTACTAGCATCCATCTAAAAAAAAAAAAATGCATACTGATCTGTACTGCATGGCTAACTTGAATCATTGCCTTGAGCTTGTTCCAGTCAGTTGGACATTTAAACTCAGGCCTATCTGTTGAGGTGCTGCATCACTGACATGCCATTTTTGTACACCAATTCGATTTTAAAAGGGGCATGCTGAGCACAGTTTATAAAGGTTCAAGGCTTGAGATATTTTTCAGCTTTTACCATTTTTGCTTCTAGCTTTCTCTTGATTTTTTAAAGATATCTATCAAATCCAGCATCCCATAAACATAGGAGAGCACTTAAGAACATTGTTTGACAGTAATTATCAGTCACATGGGGGTGATCGGGCAGAACGGATTGATGAGGATTAAACAAAGCATTAAGTGAGTCTTTGCACTGAGGAATTTTCTTTTATTGAGTTGCTCAAAGAATCATTTCAGTCCTCCTATTCATGCATTTTGTTTCTGCTTACTCTATCCAATTTTTACTGTCGTACTGACTCCCAATTCCAAGCTGCTGCTGTGTGAAGAGCAGTTTCAATATTCATGAGCAAAGCTTTCTGTTCTTCTCACATCTTTGTCCTCTCTATATATGTACTAGCACTTTAGAGGGCATCCCCCTCTTTTCCATATCTTTGCATCTTGACTTGACAAACCTTTGGGGCACATGAGAATAACTTTTTTTTTTTTGTTAAATGAAACTGTTATTGTACCTTCCGGCCCCTTTCATCCATGCTTAAAGTCCAGCACCATAGTCTAGCTGTGTGTAAAGCAGTAAAGTCGAGTAGAGCTGACGTTGTCAGCTTCTCAGCTCTACCTGATCCTGACGGGGTCGAGCTGCAGCAGCAACTCACAGAGAGTAGTGGAAGCAAACAAAGATGGAAAGTCGAGCCACCAATTGATTACTGAGGGGAAGAGAAAGGAAAGATTTAAATGGGGAAAGAATGAAAAAGCCTCAGCTCACATCTTGAAATAAAAAGCTGAGAAGGTGATCACTAAAGTCACAGCCACGCTGCATAATATTCTTAATCTAGGAAAGTAATTAAAATACATGAGGTGGGATACACTGTTTCCATGTGATACAGCTAAATAGTGATGACTTATTGAATTTGCATAATTACAGTTCATTGAGCTTAAATTCCTGTCCTTAAATGTCATGTTAGCTTTTTATAAAGATGCATGACAGCGCTACCTTTACAAATAGTAAGTAACTTTCTTACTTTGTTTAGATTATCTTTTCTCATGTGGTCATAGACCAGAAAGGATCCAGGTGGAAATGGAAATGATTTAAATCTGAAGAGTCACTGTTGCCTCTTTTCTTTTTTCTCTATAATTTGTTGTTTGTGCACTCCAAGAAGTCGACAGAACAGATGAAGAAAGTACCAACCATCATCCTCTCTGTGTCGTACAAAGGAGTGAAGTTTATCGATGCCACAAATAAGGTAACGCACACTTGCAAAGACGCCCACAGCAAATAACACTAGAAAGGTCAATGACCATGATTGACATTCAAAGGTGTAATGTCTGGATGGCGCCCCAGTGTTGAAGCTTCCATGTTTAATACTGTATGTGTCTGGTGAAAAAGCTAAAACAAGCAATTACTGGTCTGGAGCAGATGAGATGGAAGTCACCAAAAACAACTGCATGTTCAGCCAACGAATAACTTCACTCTAAAGTATCTATCCAACTATCACAGAGCAACATTTACTTATGTGCATAAACATCATATCATCGGATGCATCTGAGGACTTTTAAAACATTTTCCTATTTTTATATATATATATATATATATATATATATATATAAAAAATTTTATTCTGTCACCATAAAACAAACTTGTAGAGCACAAGTAGCCTTGGTAGTTCAAGAATGGGATTTGAAACACCAGAGAATTAATAGATTGTGATGACAAATTTGAGCCTTTGCCTTTATGGCCAAGGCTGAGAGCTTTACAGGTCAGTTTGACAGGGAGAGCAGCCAGAGACAGATCAGTCTTCCCTTGTAGGCAGATGGGAGTATGCTGAGAATTAGTTGAAACCTAATTAGAACCTGAAAATGGCTGTAAACCGATACTCCATGTCAAACTTGGTTGAGGCTGAACTTCCCTGACAAAAAAAACCTGACATAGGTTGCCAAACCTGCGTACATAATGTGGAGGAGAAAAACATGAAGTGGATCTATTTTAGGAGGATAAAATTTGGAAAACTTCAGGGATTTTGGCACTGCATGATTGTTTGAAATGCAGATGAGAATGCACAATAAAAAAAGAACAATTCATAAAATCATCCAAAGCACAAAACAAATGGACAGACCAGGTTTAGAAACATTTTCCTACAATAGTGACAGAGAGGCTTAACACTTAACAGTCAATTATCCGTTCCTAATACAACGACGTGTCTGTTTTGCCAGGAAATTTAACCAGATGTTTCCATTGACTGGCCTTGCATTGCTTCTTAACACATCTATAAAATGTAATGACACTGCACAAATCATTGACCTTAACATAAATTACTGGCATCAGCCTGTTCACAGAAACCTCCAAAGTCCTGTAAATGTAACCTGTGCTGGGAATCAGGGATGAACTGATAACCAGGTCACTTATTTACTTGAAAAGAGGAAGTAATCGATTGGACCGCTTTACATCTGCTGTCATACAGTGGATTACAATATCCTGTATGACAAACAAGCCATTGTTCTCTCTCTGCTATCTAACCTTTTCAATAACTAACCCAAAATTGTCTTCTGAGGACTGATTCTTACTCAAAATCACTTTCATTCTCTTTAAGCACAACATTGATGTTTAGTTTTCTTCAGTTTCCTACTTGCATATAAAGCATTTTGAAATATATATATGTTCTTATTTGAGCCCTCCCAATTTCTTTTTTTTCCGATTAGTGATTCAGACTACTGAGATGTACTTTAGTTTCGAAGACTAAAAAAAATACAAATAAATAATCATTCTGAATGCTCACTTGTGATAAACTACAGAACAAAGCCCACATCAATGACTCCAGAAAACTCTGAAGCCAGTGGTGTGCTGTAGTAAAGACATTTTTGGCATGTATTATTAATCCATTTTTTTTTATTCTGAAAAGGCCCAGTGGGGCTAATAAATAATTTGTCACTTTTTTTCCTCCCTATGTGCAGAATATCATTGCAGAGCATGAGATTCGTAACATCTCGTGTGCAGCTCAGGATCCGGAAGATCTGTCGACATTTGCATACATCACCAAAGACCTCAAATCCAGTCACCACTACTGTCATGTCTTCACTGCTTTTGATGTGGTCAGTCCTGATACCAACTGTATCAGCATGTCAGACTTAAATTTAACTTTGCATTCTTACAGCTGTTTGATTTCTCCATTTACTCAGAATCTGGCCTACGAGATCATCCTGACACTCGGACAGGCCTTCGAGGTGGCCTACCAGCTGGCCCTGCAGGCTAGGAAGAGTGGCCATGGATCATCCACACTTCCAGAAAGCTTTGACAGCAAGCCCAGCAAACCTGTCCCCAAACCACGTGTCAACATTCGTAAATCAGTAAGCATCAACACAGCTGCAGTACTGTCAAGGGAAAATCCATCATCTGCTGAAATGTGATGGTTTTGATGAGCTTGACTTGACTTTGAAACCCATTTGCCAAAGTCAAATATCACAGGTTTGTGTTTTTGACCAGATAAATTGACATTTTCCATTTCCAATTAATGGAGGATTTTCCCTTGTGGTAACACCTTTCAACTCCTATAGTCAAATTCTGTTTTTGGAAAACCTTACTCAGGAATATATTAACTTCCACTGTGGCTGTAGTTTCTCATCCACACACATTTCCATCATGCTCCCTTCAACATCTTCTGGATTAACCTTACATTGTGTGTGCACGTTTTGGTCCAGCAGACCTTGCAGCAAAGGTGCATCTGGATATTTGATCTGTTAAACGACCACTTGGTCTAGCTGTCCCTAAAGTCTCTTACACTGTTGGCTGATAGATGAGGTCTGTTTGCACAGAGGTCCAAGGGGGAGTGCACACTTTGTGTGTATGTGGATGCGTTAGTATAACATATAAAATGACTAAAAATACTTGGATTAAGGAATAACATCCCAGTCCATGACATCCTCATCAAGGATGCAGTATAGCTGTTTCAGTTTGGTCATATTTCTCATGAAACCGTGTTTTTCTGAAATTAGTTAAATTATAACCCCATGTCCTCTGTTCGAGTTAGAGGTTTCTGAACTGATGCCATTGTGATACTTGGATTTTGCTATCAGCTTGCAATTCCTGCTCAAAATAAACTTTTGAAATTCAGATCTGACATGAATGTGGAACTGTTCAGCATCAAAAAAATAACCTGACAGCTGTCAAGCCAGCTTCGTGTGGCAGTGGCTCCATTTCAGAGGTTGGCACTACAGATCTCACTGTCAGTCGCATAACCCCCTTTTTCTCAAATTGTACAGGACAACAAAAATATTGCTTCATTGCAGTAAGTGGCCAAAAATAGCCGTCCCCTTCTTTGTGACTGTAGACATTTGTGTCCCACATCTCTGACATTTCTCTGTACGCAAGTGTCATGCTCAACTGCCACAGCGTCGCAAAGTATCAGAGGAGCTTTCAACACTCCATTAGCCCCTCACAGAGCTTTAAGTGGTCACAGTTAGCCATTCTTCTTATGTCTTCTTCCACACCAAACTCTGACGGGTACAGCCGCACACGTTACAGTTGCTGCCATCACTCGGTGCTTAAACAAATCAAACTCCATTTACTGGAGTCATAAAGGAGAGACACTATTGAGAACAGTGGCCTGTGAGTGACAATCGCACTCTAACATTAGAGATGTCAGATAGTAATGAACAAGCAAGACGGGGGGAGAAGATAGAAAAAGAGAGCAAATGCAGAATATGCAAGTGGTCCTGTGCCTACAGAGATGATGGACGATGGCATATGTACACACAATCTGCTGAGTTGGCAACCATTACATTAACCATTAATTGCTTTCCTCTGCCCATGCGTTCACGTTTCTGTGGTGTACTTAATGGATTGTGGTGTACAGCAGGGCAAAGATATTGCAGCATTCACTCGATATTCCTGCCGCCCACGATCATGATCTCCATCCTGCAGCAGCTTCATGTGCTTCAGTTAACCTGCCTAAAAAATGTCAGCACAACATTTGCCTGATTGGGCTCCATGTGCCTTATATGTTTGTCTGATCAGGACTGGTATATAACTGTAATATGTATACCAAAACTAGTTTACGGTTATGGCACAAAGCAAATGCAAAAGCCTTCCAGCATGAAAAAAGTACTTGCATATTGAAGGTTCTTATACCTACCAAACAAGCATTGCCTAGAAAAGCTTAAGTTCACTCACCTCGAACTGATCTTTATAGGGCTGCAATGCCGCAGGCTAGATGATTATTAGTTAATCTCTCCCCTCCCTTTTTAAATTCCAAGTTGTTTCACAATTATCTACCACAAGTTATCTGTGTCTCTGGTCTTTCCTAAAAAAATAGACCAAACAACTAAAAGGTCTCTTGGATCCATTAACAAAACGGTGTATTCAAATGTTTTTTTCTATCCTAATAGATTTTTAGATCCATTTATACAGTCAGTATTCCACTCTTATATTAGGCCTGTTGTTGCCATGCAGGAGATGCTATTTTAATGTGGTCTAACATCGCTTTTCCAGATGGAGTTTGGCTTAACTGTTGTAACATTGCTGTCCCACGCTGTTGCCATGGTTTTGGAGTGGTGTTGCCTTTCTCTGTTGCCATGCAACTGCTTTGCCATTGCTGTGGTTTTGCTGTTCGTCTTCACTGATGTCAAAGCCAAGCTGGCTGACTTTGACCTCTTCCTCTATAGGTCATCTTTTCTCCCTCAAGCCGCTGGTCACTGGGTCACACTTACACCCCTCACCGGCCTCCTCTCCACCCTCCTCTTCCACCCCCTAGACTCTTCCATCTTCCTCCTAAAGCTCAGTTACAGGTCTTCCACGCTTTTCCTTCTATTCTTTTTCAATGCCATTTTCCCCCCATTCATTAAAGAAGAACGTGTTGTTTGTAAGTGGTTTCATTCTATCTCGCCGAGTCTGCATTCCTGTTTCTCACTCCTCAGTTGTTGCCTCCATTTATCAATTCAAATTTGGTATTGTGCCGAGAATTTGCTAAGATGCATTCAGGGCCATAGCTTTGGTTTTTCAGGGCTGAAACTCAAAAATCCCATTGCCCTATCTTGTCAGTACGTCAGGCTGCATTCTCCCAGTGGCTCTGCGGATCATACAGACCAGGGGATGGATGCAGATAATATTTACCAAAACTCTATACGGGCAGAAATATGAATACTTATTTTCTAATCCTTCATAAAGCTGTGTCGACATGTGATCATAAACTATGTGCTCAAACAGGTTTTCACAACAATTTCTGCTATTTGCATTGGTCATGACTTGCCTCCAAAGGTGGCCGCATTGACGTAGCTAAGATCCAGTGAGAATTCCCAATTCAGACTCATAAGGAGGTGACAAACCACAGAAGGGCGACAGGCGTAGCAGCAAGTAGCAGCAACATTCAGAAGAAGAAAGAAAGAAACTCAAACAATATGACGGGCAGAAGGAGGAGGACAAAATAGGGAAATTGAAGGCAGCGGTGGTACTCAGAGGATTCAAGACGAAGACCACCAAACGGAGTAGTTCAAGCAGATTCCATCAACCATCAGGAGAGATCTCTGTCCAGAAGAGTTCAAACTCGGGCTCCCAGAGGACTCAAGCTTAAAAGAAGGGGTACTTCCCACAAAGAAAGAGTTGGAGAATTTTATACAAGTTTTCTTCCTCAAAACTTTCCCCCAAACCATCTACAAACTATCAGACAGACTGGAGGAAAGGCACCCTCAGCAACTAAACCCAGCCAATAGATGGTTGCCAGGTTTTATTTTAGTTTGGTTTGTAACAGCGACAGCCTGTTTCTGACAATCCAAACTGCATCCAGCATGAATGTATAGACCCCATAAACTAGAAAAACAAATGAGATAATTATGGTTTTCTTTTGCCCTGTATTTTTCCGTTTTAAACTGTTATTCCTCCTATCATGTCTACACACACACAGAAAGTCCTCCACTGTTTAATAATCTGAAGATTATATATGATAACTGCATTTTCAGAGCCAAGGAAAACAAAAAAAACACCTTAATAGTTCCAGGTTCCATGTCTCTGATGACCTCCTCTTTTTCAACTAGATGGAGCAGCCATCTATGGACCAGAAGGGTCACGCCAATGTACCATGGATTGTGGAGCCAGGTCAGGAGGCCAAGAGAGGAGTCAACACCAAGTACGAGACCACTATTTTCTAACATACACCCGCCTTGTCCACTCCTGTGTGTGTGTGCCTTTCAGAGGTTGCCCTGTAGCCGGGCCACGCCCCGGTGTTGGGCACAAGCGACGCACGCCGCCGTGTCACCTCACCGGCTGAAAAATAAAAATACATCTTGCCCTCTCCCCGTTAGCTGAGCCTGTCCACTGCATGATGACGATTGGCACGACACCGTCTTTCTGCTCTCCCTTTCTCTAGCCGGCGCATGACCATTGAACCCAGGCCTGTGGTGTACAACCGTCTCCACCTGTAGGGGGAAATGGTCAGCTCAGTTTTTCCACCTCTTGTTTTTCAGTCAGTCAGTAGTCTACCAATTTGTTCTGCAGTCACCTTCTTGTCTTTTTCCTCCATGCCTCGTTTTTGGCCCCTTTATCCAACTGCCCTTGACAACTTGAATGAGAACTAACAAATACTGCTTATGGGCTGTAACAGTGTTTTAGCTGTTTTGAGCAAAGTCTGGGAGCTGATGAGGATTGTTGTCTAAACATGACAACTAGAGGAGAGTTTGGACTTTTTAATCACTTTTTTGTAAAGAAAAAAAAACTAACAAAGAGGAGAGGTGATGTAGCACAGTGTAAACTTTGGTTCAAACTGGTTCAACCAGCAGGCTACTAGAATGTATTTCAACTTTTGGAGATACTTAAAAACTTGTGAATTTCTTTTCAAAACTAGATTTTAAACTTTATCTGTGGCAGAGGAAGACAGATTACTTTTTGTTTTTGTAGTATCTTTTGCAAGACATTTGTATATATGTTCAATGAAACTCAAATGGATTTTTCCTGCCTAGGAGGCTTCTTTTATTTGGGGGGAAAAACTTGTGTCAAAGGTTGAAGCATGTGGCTTGTGAGAAGCATGGTGACCATTTTGGAATTGCTGAGCAGGGGGGGCCGGTGGAGAAAGCGGGGTGTGAGGGCTCTCTCGATAAGTGATGTCATCTCATTTGCAGGGCAATGCCGGATGCTCATGTCTATTACTGTGGAATGCAAAGAATGTAGCCAGCCCTAAACATGGACATGTCACATATACAATGCAAAAAGGACTACAAAGGACCCTGTTGCTCAGAATTCAAAAGGACTACACATGGATGCTACTCAAATTAAAACAGGTTAACTGCGAATTTCTAACATTCATCCACATGATGCTCTACACTGTAAACATTGGACCAATTGACACACACACACTGACAGTCAACCACCTACTCTGAATGTACACTATTTGAAAGCAGCCTCAACTTTCTGCAGCAGCAGGATCTGTTTTATGCACCCAACCTGGGAGGCTTGACCGTTGAACTTTTGTGTGGTCAGCATCTCCATGGAAACTGAGTATGGTTACAGGGCATATGTCATTATCGGCATGGGTTCGTGGATATCTGGCTGGCTCTTCTTTTGTCTTTGTTTTTTTTTGTCAAAAAAATAATACATATGCACAAGCGTATAAGTGTGATTGGACTTGCTGCAACAATGCGATACAGATGTAACAGGTGTCTCATACTAAATGAGCCAATGTGAACAAAACAGCATCTAGCATTAAAAAAAGTATTCTATTCGTATTGCCCGACCTTTTAATGTTTAATATGAGAGTATTATATTACCATGATTATTCTTGTGCAATTCTTGTCTACTGTTGTCTTAATGTTACATTATTTTTCTATGATATGCTGAGATTTAAAAAAACAAAAACACCTTTGGTCCTGAAAATGATGGCTATCCTTTGGGGGAAAAAAACAAAGTCTGAAACTAGATATTCATATTTGTACAGAGAGTGAATGTTGCAGGTTGCTTGCTAACTCCTAGGTCAGGTTAACCTCCATTTCTCATGGGGCTCTACTCTTATCTTGCAGATGTACTATTTTAAATGCAGTTTTACTGTATTTTATTATTACTGTTTATTTGGATAACACATAATCCAACTATAAAATGTACATAAATATTTTGCCAACTCATTGTTCATACATGTAATGTAAAGAGAATACAGTTTGCATTAAATGGCACTGGATATAAGGTACCAAATAAAGGTTGGATATTTCAAAAAGTAACAGACTATAGAAGTTGTGTTTTGAGTGAACGCAGATTATTTGGTGAAAACACTGTTGATCAAATAATGTACATAAGCTTGGGCTTCCAGCACAAAGATTTTTGTAATTTTGGCCATTATTTATATTCTTGCACATTCAATAAAATACAACTTGTACAACCATAATTGATCACCGTGATTGTCAAATCTTTTCTGCTTTCTGCACAGTGTGAACTGCCTTTGATAATGCAGTTCAGAATTTGATGACTGTCGTATAATTTACTATTTTTCTTTGTAAAGAAAAATGTTTTAAAAAAGTCAATTGTGGAACAAAGCCAAATTGTGTATATATTGTAATAAATACATCCTGTATAAAAACATTGATATAATCAATTGAAATTGTCATGTTAGCAGGTTATAAGGTAAATTGACTTCAGCAATCAGTGCATGATATTTAAAGTAAAGAGTTTCAGCTTACCTGCTATACTTTTAAGTAACATTAGAATTTGGGGGGGACTGCTGGAAGTATCTTTTAAAGACACTTGCTAAATCTCCAAACTGAACATCTTATAAAACATAAACTGAGTAATAAAACCAACAAAGCAAAGCTTAGCAAAAAGATTGTCAGGCATGGTCTGGCTGTTTTCACCACATGGCTTATCTGGATGTGACCGATAGAAGCTGCAGCTGTAAAAAAGGTAAATGCATTTCAGTCAGGGCCTGTTCTAATATCTCACAGCTCAACACAACCTAAACCCAATTCCTACCAGGTTGCTGATACTTTACAACCAGTCTGCAATCTGATGTATTCTACTGAAAACTGACATTTGTTTATGTATGACGGACATACCTGCGATGGACTGGCGGACTGTTCAGGGTGTACCCTGCCTCACGCCCGTTGACCACTGGGATAGGCTCCAGTTCCCCCCGCGACCCCAACAGGGAATAAGCGGTATTGATAATGGATGGATGGATGGATGGATGACGGACATAATGAGGAGAGTGGGAGGTCCTTTTCCATATTTTTGCAAGATTGGCCCAAAAGTGGAAGTACTGGCTACTGTATTTAGGCTTCCCAAGTTTCCAGGATCCTTTTATCTGTAGTACTGGCAGAGGTAAAGGCACCAGGCTTAATGGGGCACAAAGAGGCACAATGAATACAATAATGACCTAGCAACACATGCAGGAACAAACATATTTTTGCAATGTAGACAAGTAAATGGCTGTTACTGGCAATTTACTAATGTTTAGAGTGTAAAACAGGAAGGAATACATGTTTTGCTTTATTATGCCTGTTAGACTGGGACAGGGCCAAAGTTCCAGATGGCATGTTCTGCCTATGGCCACTAGCTAAATGAGTTTATAAGAAAATAAAAAAATAATAAAAAAGGACAGAATAATCACATTTATATCTGGCATTTATCCACTAGCAACAATTTGAACCGAAGAAAACAGATGAAAACACAGGTCTGTGATTGCATTTAGATCCATAACATCACCCCATAGATCACATACATGAGTGCACAGCCACACGCCTCAAACATGAATACAGCTACCGCACCTGGGACCTGCACAGAGAAACTATTTTACATAAACAACTGTGCATTTCACAAATGTCTGGCTGAACACAAAGCATCTTTTTGAACTTGCCAGATGTTTTGCATAAGAACTCACTTTATCATAATGTTGTGAACACAATAGCTAACTTTCTGGGAAGGGTGTTGTGAAGGAATTAAAAACCACCAAAAGCCTACTGATGTGAGGTTTGTGATGTACAGATTGTTAAGGAGGCTCCCTCTCTGACATGCAGGAAAACACGACTCTTTTTAAATGCCTGTGACAGGCTCTCGTGTATTCATAGTGCAGTTGATATTGTTTTGGAACAGACTGGATATCTTGAGAGAACTAAAGAGTCCCTCTTCTTCCAAGGCACCACTGTTAAGGCTGTACTGACCTATTTAATGTAGAGCAGGGGGAAATGCCCCCAGGCCGACCATATGAAGTTTTAGATCCAGGCTAAGTCCATCCAATAATACTATAACCAAGCTTCACGCCTGTGCCAATAAGGAAAATAAAGAAATTACCTGATAACACCAGCAGCTACACCCATCCCTTTAAACAGCAGTTACTGAATCAACAGCTATTCCACTCTGGACTTGCATCTAGAAGTTAAAATCACTATAGGCAAATTGTGGGGAAATTTTAACCTTAAGGGGGAAATAAAAGAAAGACAATGTTGCTTTGGTTTCATCTGCTCTGGCTGAGAATAATATGACCAACACTGGCCATGTTCCATGCTCACTATGACTACAGACAGTTTCAGCTCTTTGGTACTTTTTTACTCCAAACCATCTGAAGTGACAAAAACTGAAGAAATTTAAGCAGAAGTGTAAAAGTATCATTTAGAACTGTGTGAGATGGCATATAATAAACTGGTAATTTAATCCACAATATAGTTTCATTGGCCAACTTTGGACCTCACTTGCAAAGTAACACCCAGCTTTTCTGTTTCACCAGACAGAGATGGTCCAGACAGTTGGAACATGAGCTGTGGGGGAAACAGAAAATCAACTCAGATGTACACAAAGTTTTTTTTTATTTCCAGGAAATCATTATATTTTGTCAAAAAAAAAACAAAAAAAAAACTCAGGAGAGGATCAATATGTGGGCTTAGATTGACAGCAACACAAGCAACTGAGGACGTATTGTGCATGACAGGTTGCCGGAGGTTGTCCGGAGTAGAAATGTTTTCTGTAAGCTGGGTGGTGTTAAAGCCTGCGCCCATCTCCCCCGGAGAACACGGAAGAATACGACTGGCATGGCTGTGATGAGAGCTGACAGCTTCTCACTAATGTCCTGCCCAGCAGTTCTTAAGAGTTTGACATCTGCTCCCGAGACAGCAGAAGCTGATGCGACGCAGGGGGCTCAGAGCATGTCAGCGCCCGGCACTCACCCACCATGACAGCT